ATTATTCCTAACCATGCTTTTAGTCTCTGATGATTTGCATAACCAAATGATCATGGTTCCTATAGTTGATTGGGCAACAAGGGATGGGCACCTGACCCAATGGTAACTCTGTAAGTTTGATTAGCTAATACACGACTTGGGTAACTGGCTGTAAAAACTAGATAAGCAAAATTCCTCTTTTGGGATTTCAGAATAGAGAAGCTGAAAGTCTCAGACCATTAATGTACAGAAGGGTCAGCAGGAATGATGGGCAAGAACATGCTGCAGTTCTGAGAAAGCAGATCCTCTGAGTAAACAGGGGAGGTGGTGAGCCTGAAGAGAAGAGGAAAAGAAAGAAGTTGAGGCACAGTGAGAAGGGTTCTGCTCGATTTCTATGGTTCCTTCAGAATACTTCCTGAGGCCTGGCCCTACTATGATCTTACTGTCAGACTTTTACGAGTTGCTGGATTATTATAAACAAACAAAACAACCTTACCCTGAGCAAATCTCTGCTTCCTGTGATAAACTGGCCAGAGTTATTGAGAATGCTCTGGTGAGACATCTGGAAGACAGTAGCACTGTAACTAAGATCAGCAACATGCAGTACCAAATTCAATGTTTATTCCACTCTTTTTTAAAGCATTAGCTTAGAAAAAAAAAAAAAAGAGAGAAGGAAGGATTATATCAATATTTCATTTGGGAGCAGAAGAATAATATGATGAGCTTCTTGTGTATATAAAAACAAATTGATCTTTGCAAATATAATTTTTGAAAGAAAAAGTAACTGCTACTACAAATATATTAAAATGACTATAATCAGTGACATAACATTGTCTTCTGCTTATCAACAGTGGTGTAATCAAACCACCTTCTAGATGCTGTGTTTCTAGGTAGCTGCCTTTTGATTTGCCAGCAGAGGAATTGATGAAAATCTCCCGGATTCTTAGTCACATGCCCACATTACTCTCTCAAATAAGAATAAAGAAAATTTATTGAATATTTATAGGTAAGGCACATGTAATTACTATGTACTCTAAATATAGAATACAATCAGATAGTCTTTAATTATGTCTCCCAGTATCCCTATGGAATGTACTGAGTGGGGAATTTCCTACTCTGTTTAGGACAAAATTAAAACGCGGTAGTGTAAGGACTCTTTAAGCATTCTCAAGCAATTGAAAGTCCAATGGTCACTTCAAATTGTGTTATTGCATCTATTCCTAAGTCATAATAAAAACTTAGACCTTGGTTTAAAATTAAGTCTCACCCTTAGCCCCGTGAGAAGCCATGTGCAGGTGAGAAGGTGTGGGAGGGGCGGTCTTTCGCTCTTTGCTTCTAATTCTTCTAGGGCTGGGATGGGAGAAAGTAGGAGAAGTGAGGAGAAGCAGGAGTATTGTCTGGTGAAGTGGTAAGATGGCCTTCAGCTTTCTGGGCCTGGTAAACATTTAGCAGACTACATTTCAAAGGAGCTTTTGCGGGTTCTTTGGAGATTGCATTCGCAGCTGGTGATGTCTCAGCTGCAAGTCCCTGGATTCAGGCAAATGTGCTCTCCATTTGAGCAGCCACTTACTTCCTCAGCCCTTAGAAACCTAGTATTTTCCTTCTGCTCCCACTTGGCTTGGCTGCATCTAAGGCTTCCCACAGCCAGCCCTTGCTCACGACTGATCCAGATCTGATCCCTAAAGGAACACACACATACACACACACACACACACACACACACACACACACACACACACACACACCCTTCCTCTGGACACACTCACAACAACAGCAGCTCCCCTTCAATCTGTACCCCATGTGGCTTGCTAGTTTATCTTTCACATGATTTCCCAGAAGGGAACTGGGCCACGGTGTTCTTCCTACCCAGAGACATATATTAAGTGATATGTCCCTTTCTCTTGACATTAGGTGATTCTGATCTTTTACTTTGGTAGGAACTAAGAACACACTTTTTTTTTTTAATCCCACCAATAAAAATATAAATATAAAAATATCCTTTCTCTAATCTCCAACAATCCTATGTGATCTAGCACTTCCTATGGGATGTAACATATATTATTTTTTGGTGCCTCAGCCAACACTTTAATTTTAAGACCCTTAGTATAATGGGTTTCAGGGTCTCTTGGCCAGCCCTGCTTTCTGAATGGAACCAATGGATTCCCTCTCTCATACCCCAGCAGGTCTTGAAATTCATGGAACTTTACCAACTCATGGCCCAGAAGGACCAGCACCCTGAGACATGGGTCACATAGCCTTTATACTGCTTGCAGTAAGAAGGAAGGAACATAGGGTGCCAAGACACACGGGAATCAGGAGCCAGAGGGATGAGGCCAGGAAGCAAGGGAAGGACCACTTTAGGCGGAAAGTCACACATCTCATAAGGTCCTTGACAAGATGGACCCTAATCAGTCTTGTCAGTCTCATCTCATTCATGCTTTCTCCTTCACTATAGCCACACAAAACTACTTGCCATTTTCTAAATATGCCATGTCCTTCCATCTTTAACCCTTTTCACCTGCTACTCATTCAGGATGGAATACCCTCCTTACTCTCAACCCCTCTCCCATTGCTTCTATTCAACGAGTAAGACCTAGTTTGTCTCTGGTTTTCAAGAGAGGAAGGAAGAGGGGGAGTTAGAAACATCAATTGTGAATGATAATCATTGAATGGCTCCCCACTGAGGATTGAGCCCGAAACCCAGGCATGTGCCCTTGACCAGTATTGAACCTGGGTCCGCAGGCTGACGCTCTATCCACTGAGCCAAACTGGCTAGGGCTGCTGTACCACTTTTTACATGTCTCATTTGCGGCTCTCATGTCATTACATTGTAGCGCTTTAACTTGCTCTCTGCTCCCCAAGAGATAGTATGTATCTTGAAAAAAAGGACAGTACCTTATTTTTGTAATCCTGCCACTTAAGATTGTGCTTCAGTGTTGTAGGGACTTCTATTGCTGTGTAAACACACATTTATTATTCCATAGTTTCTGAAGGTCAGAAGTCTAGGCATGGTGTGGTTAGATTCTGAGCTGAAATCAAGATGTTAGCCAGGGCTGTGATTTTCATTTGGAGTTCGATCCTCTTCTAGACTCACTGATTATTGACGGAATTAATTTTCTTGAAGTTGTAGGACTGATGTTTCCATTTTTCTGCTAGCTGTTGGCCAAGAACTGCTCTCAGTTCCTAGAGGCTGCCCACAGTTTATTGCCATGTGGCCCCACTAGACGGTTCACAGGACTGATGTTTACTTCCTTCCAAGCTAGCTGGAACATGTTTCTTTGATTTCCTCGTCTATAATCAGCCAGAGAGAATTCTCTGCTTTTAAAGGGCTCACCTGATTAGGTAAGGCCCAATCAGGATTATCTACTTTTGCCATATAATGTAAGTTATCTCAGCAGCGATATTTCATCCTATTCTTGAGTTCCACCCACACTTCAAGGGGAGGGAATACAGTATGAGGGTAAACTGGGGTCAGTTTTGCCTATCACAGAGCTCAATTAATATTTATAAAATCAAATAATATGTGTTCCAGAAATATATAAATTATAAACATTGTTACTTGATTGTAATATTTTTTCTCTTATCTTGGAAGGTTTTTAAAGTTACTTCTTAATGTGTGTTGGATCCAGAATGGTTGAGTTTGCTCTATTTGAAATAACATGATACACATGCCATGAGCCTTAGTGTGCTGAAATTTGGAGTGGGTGGCAAGACCTGGTTTGACAGGTGACTTAAGCTAAGTCCCTGAAACTCTTTGAATGACAAATTACTCCTCATATATAAGACATTTTTAAAAAGTTTTTTTTATTGATTTCAGAAAGAGGAAATGAGCTGGAGAGATAGAAACATCAATGATGAGAATCATCAATCAGTTTCCTCCTGCCTGCCCCTTATTGGGAATCAAGCCCAAAATCTGGCATGAGCCCTGACTGGGAATCCAACAGTGACCTCCTGGTTCATAGGTCGATGCTCAATCACTGAGCCATACCAGCCTGGCTATACTAATTAAATTTAACTGTAGCCAAGGAACTCACAATATCCAAATTCATTAAAATAGTTCATAGAAGAATTTCATTATAGATAAAGTTGCAATGATATGATTTTAAGAGGAAAAAGCAGTTATGTTTTTAAGTGAACCTACTCCTATACTGGCCAAACCTGACTATGGTAAATATAAATAAGAGCACACAACTACATTTTTAATACTTTACATAAAATGGCAAAGAACATTTTGTTTTTAGATTACATATCTGTTCAATTATGATCAGAAGTGAATTTTCCCTAAGATATTAAAACCTGATAAAACTGCTGTTTCATAATAAGCTTAATTAACTCAATTGATGATAACTGAAAAACTAACAAAGGCAGTACTCAAATATTACAAATCAATTCACTGATTACATGCAAAGCATATTGAGATCCTTATATACATTTTGGGGGTTTATGTCTTTCTTTTGTTTTTCTTAAATGAAGCTTTCTTTGGCTCAGATAATTATTCTCTTCTCCCCAGAAAAATGAGCTCTAATTTTAAACAGGTATTATTAAGTTCCACCAAAATAGGCTTCATGCAGGTGTATTTGTTAAAACATCCCTTTATTGACAGTGCACAGTTATTAACAATTCACATTTCACTTTATCTACTGAGAGGAAGAGCATTTATTCCTCCATTAAAAAGTTAAGCCCTTGGGGCAGCAGCAGGGATGTGGAGCCCTCTTCCTATAAATGGCACTGTCCAATGAATGTGAAATGTTTCCATATTAATACAAATGACAAGAGAAAAAGAAATAAAACAAATGGATTTCTCCCACCCTCCCTGCCAACATACTCCTCTTGTTTTATAAAATGTTTTCACATTGTACATCCACCAATCAGAAGAGAAATGTCAACACTTATTTGGGACCACTGAGTTCAGAACCTTATTAGGGCTGTGTGACAGTTGAACACAGGAGTACAAGGCCATGGTCACTTCCTTGAGAAGATGCCTTCTGGACAGCGAGGGCGGAAAATCATGAGGGCTTTCATCAGCTTCCAGTACCTTGCTGCTCAAGTTTCTGGAGTTGTTTTTCAAGTTTGGAGATGTTTACTCGATGCATCATCAGAAACTGGCCATTCAAATGAAAGACGGGAATGTCAAATTTATACCTCTCATACCAAGCAGAGTTTTCTGGAAGTGTGATGTCCACCTCCTGTAAAATAAACTGAAACAGAGACAGACTAAAGCTCTATATTTTTGAGAACATGGAATGATGCAATAACTTCAGTGACAAACTGATCCTGAGACTGGTTCTAATGCTCAGAGGTTTTTGTTATTGTTGTTTGTTTGTGTGAGGTCCAAAGTAATCGAATGTCCCTGATTTCCACAACTTGGTTGATTTCATTATATTCCATAACTCCAGATTTTGCTACTTTTCTGTTATACCTATCACATTCAGCATCCAGGCACTACTCTGTTCCCAATGAAATAAAATATGTCCTCAGAGGGAAACTTCCTGAGAATCAGGAAAGACATGCTTTAGTTTTTAAAAATGTCATGCTTTACTACAGGTGAACCATGGAAATGATAAGAGGAAAAAAAGGGACAAAAGTTTTGAAAAAGCATGAATACAGCATTTGATATTTAACTTTGACTCACATTAGGAGTAAGGAAACAAGTACTGCTCAGAGAAACACCAAGGATAGTAATTTTTATGGAAATTAGCACTAGCATCTCTCTGGAAATTAGGGAAAAAAATGTAAGTGAAAAATTATTTACTCTCTTTTCCTAAAGAAAGGATCCAGATACCTTATATCCATTCCATATACATAAAGCCACACTATACTACATTACCCTGTTTTTATAAGGCTCCAGTACTTCCTTAGCTTCATCACAAAGAGGACATGGATCCTACAGGAAGAAAAAATAAAGCCATTAAACCCAAGAATGGCAGCAACCTGACAAAAACCACAGAAGCAAATTGTATTTTAACAGATTGTTTTCTACACTTTCATTTCCAAAATAAAACACTGTCATAAAATCTTATAAACAGCTAATATTTCATAGTAAATGGGCTTTCCGCATTTTCCAATTGTTATATTTGCCTCCATAAATCAGTCTACCTGTCTAATAAATTTAGATGTTTACATTTGTTACACATGTGTGCATATACACATAACATATATGTACATAACAAATGTATCTATTAGATATATATTATAGGTAGATATATAAATACATATATACATATACACATACATAATACATTTAGATGCTTACTTTTTTTTGTCACTGGCTTCATCTAATTGATAGCTGGGAAAATTATTTTTCACTGATCTATACTCCAAGGAGCACCTTCCTGGCCTGGCTGACATCACCAGAGAAGCAAAAAGTCTGCTTTGAATGGGGAACACTGAGCTTTGCCAGCTTGTTTTTCCTAATCCATAGGAATAAACCCACTAGGATAGAGTTAGATAGTGACTGAGTGTCCCATCTTTAAAAAGGGAAAAATATTTCAGATGATGAATGTACCAACTCTTTTTAAAAAATATATATATTTTATTGATTTTGTACAGAGAGGAAGGGAGAGAGATAGTTTAGAAACATCAATGAGAGAGAGTCATCGATCAGCTGCCTCTTGCACACCCCCTACTGAGGATGTGCCCGCAACCAAGGTACATGCCCTTGACCGGAATCGAACCCGGGACCTTTCAGTCCCCAAGCCGACGCTCTATCCATTGAGCCAAACCGGTTTCGGCATGTACCAACTCTTTAATGTCTTGTCTCTTTCTCATTATAAGTGTCAGCAATAGGTTCCCAGATAATTCTCCACCTGAGAAGCAAGCACATTTTAGTGCCTGTTGTTTATAATCTAACCACATAGTGGAGGAGTCTGTTGAGAATGCTATGGATCGTTGGCAGATTTTAAAGGCTTCTCAGGCCTAGACTTCATGAATAGAGACTAGTTACAGGTTCTCGTGCAATGAGGTAAGAATATATTCAACATTATTGGTGCTTATATAAAACTAGAGGCCTAGTGCATGAGATTTTTGCACAGGTAGGATCCCTAGGCCTGGCTGACATTCAGCACTGATCTGTGGGGCAACCAGTGGGGTGATCAGGAGGTCCCCAATGGCACCTGCCTTGGCTGGCCTGGCACCACCTGCTTGCTGGCCCTGCTCCCCACCGCCGGTCGCTTCCTTCTGCAGGGCGACTGGCGAGGGAGTGATTGGGGGGTCAGGGGGATGAGGCCCACTGGCACCTGCCTTGGCTGGCTTGGGGCCTGTGAGTGGGGGCAGCTTCTGCATTGAGTGTCTGCCCCTGGTGGTCAGTATGTGTCAAGCGACTGGTCGTTCCACTGGTTGTTCTGCCATTCAGTCAATTTGCATTTTAAACTTTTATTACATAGGACTAGAGGCCCGGTGCACGAATTTGTGCACAGATGGGGTCTGGCTGGCCAGCCCCGATTGGGGCTGATTGGGCCAGGCTGGCTGGAGGAGACGGTTCAGGAGGTTGGTGGGCCGGCCCTGCCCCCTGGTCAAACTCCTGGTCAAGGGGACAATTTACATATTAGCCTTTTATTATATAGGATCTGCTTTTTAACATGACAGGAAGAGATAAACTGTTATGTTTTGTTTTTAAAAGCTAGTGCCCATAAAAGTCTGTGCAAATTATCGTGTGTGTGTGTGTGTGTGTGTGTGTGTGTGTGTGTTTATGAGAAAAAGTCCATCAAATTTTGAAGAAGTCTATGAATTGAAAAATGGTAAGACCCGGTGGTCTGGACCATTCAAATATCCTTGTCTAGGATTTCCTATGGCACTAATAGAGCACTTATTTACTCTAGCCCTGAAATGTAATGAACATTTGTTGGACTGGTTGTCCACTGCTCACACCCCTTTCCTTTAGCAAGAATGCTGTAATTTCGCCTCAAAGGAACTGCTCTCAGCATGTTGTGGACTCCATCCCTGATCAACAAGGCAATCAGCACATCCTATCCCTTTGGCTAAAATGGAATGGCTCAGGGATTGGGCTGATTGGAGCCAATAGATAGCTATGAGGCTTTTACTGGAGTATCTGATACTCAAGCTGTGAGATCTGGGGCTTGGCATCACTGCAGTCATTCATGAGAAGAGGCAGAGTCAAGACAGATTTAACCCAGGGATGCGGAACTGAAGAGATTGGCAACTGCTTAGTTTCAGAATGAAGCTATCCCTGAAACCAGACCAAGCCATAAAATCCCTTTTTTTGTTTAAGTCACTCTGGGAAGCACTTTTTATTATTTATAACTGAAAGAGAGCTAATACTGTGCTTTTTCTTTGGATTGTGAACTCCTGAAGGTGAGAGTGATATTATATGCCTAATGACACATATAAAGGGTTCAGTACAAAATGTAAGCTGAATGGAAGATTAGTGTGTTTTTGCAAATGTTTTCAGCTAACTTGCCTATTGCTCAAACTGAAAAATAGTGCAGGATTTCAGGCTGAATGACCACCATTTGTTTTAGGGATTATTTTATTTTTGTGGTTAATTCTCACATGCATTTCTCATATGTAGACACAGATGATGAAATAGTTTTGTTCCATAATTTCCAACAGTGTAGTATATACTCATAGATAAGAAAAGTAGTTGAGAGAAACTATTCTCAACAAGATATTAATTATTAAGTTTTTCAAGCTTTCCTATTAGATAATCATCAGGTATTTTTAAATTGTTAAAATGCCCGAATTCTGAAAAATCTATTAAAACACAATACTTTTTTTTTGTTTGAATTGCAGTATTAGTCACTCGTTAATTCTATTACCCTGCACTTTATTTCTTTTTTTTTTTTTTGATTATTAATCACACAAGGTAATGTTAACTAGCAAAATAAAATCAGCAATGCTTGTATTGTAAATTTCATGGGAAAAGCTCTTAAAAAATTTAAACTACTTTTATACTTTAAAAGTAGTGTCAGGGATAAGAAAACAGTCAAGCCTCATTATTTGTGGATTCTGTATTTGTGAGTTCACCTATTCATTAAAACTTATTTGTAACTCCAAGATCAATATTCATGGACCTTTTGTAATCATTCACAGACATGCATGTGCACAGAACAGAGCAAATTTTGAGTCCCATTCCAGCTGAGATTGAACAAGATGATGCTCTGCCTTCTTGTTTCAGCTCATATGTGTAAACAAGCATCCTTCTCATGATCTGTTCAGTGCCATTTATTTTTTATTTTTTGTCCTAATTCTTAATAGTGTTGAAGTGCTGTCTAATGCTTCTAGGCACAAGAAGGCTTTGATGTGCCTTAATGAGAAAATAATGTTAGATAAGCTTTGTTCAGGAGGAGCTATAGTGCTGTTGGCTTTGAGTTCAATGTTAATGAATCAACAATATGTATTAAACAAGGTGTCGTTAAACAGAACAAGGTTATGTACTGATTGATTAACAAAAATGTTAACAGAAGCTCATAGGAATCTAACCCTATATTTTCCCTAGGAGCAAAGGTCCAGCATTTGCTAATTCACTGTTTTTGGTGACTTTATGGGACATAACTATCACAAATAATAAGAACTAAGTTCTAAGTGATACATTTATAAACATCATATTATAATCTGATAGTTTTTTCTTTCAATGTAGGGGTCTAAGATGACTACTAAATATATTAATTTAACCTCTAATTGTGAGACAATGAGGTATCTGGGAGGAAATAGAGTTTCTATTGCTGATACTGAAACTGAAAAACTGAGGAACAGGTCCGAAGAATGTTTATTCCTTTACTTTACTTTCAACGTTTTTCTTCCTTATTTTCTTCACCCAATGATTTGAATACTTTGTTTTTAAAGCAGTAATTTTATTTTTCACTCTACCTTTGTGAATAAGGTCAACACAGGTAAAACAGTCCTGGAGGCAGAGAGATTTCTCAGGAAGAGTCTAAAGGAGTAGTTGGCAAATTGCATGCTATTTCCTTGAAACCAGAGCATTTTGCTTCTGCCAAAAGAAAAACAAACCAATAAACTTAGGTGCTCTAAACTTTGCTCTTTATAATATGAAACAGTAAGCTGCAAGCCTGTGATGGAATTTGAAGATTTCAGAATTGCCTTTTGAAGTCCAAGAGTGTCAGATGTTTGGCAAGTCTCCACCATACCTGCACACTCACTGTATTCCAAACAAAACCAAAATTAAAATTGGGAGGGGGAGGGAGAATCCATACTTATGGATTAGCTGTGTAGCTAATCACTTGGTTTCTGTAAGCAAACTACATGGGTTCATTTGAATACAAAATTAAATCTTACCTGCAGATTTTGCCAGCATCCTGATGATCCCCTAAAATATGGACTTTCCTGAGATAATTTTTAATCTCTGAGATAGCTTATCTTATTATCAAGCATTCACCAACACCCAACCACAGGTAAGTAGCATAAATCCCCTGTAAAGGTCGTGAGATCTATGCCCCTCTGCTGGAATGGGAAACAAGAGTTGTACTTAGAGGAACTGTAGGGGAGAATTAGACCGAGTTAACTTGTCAGAAACAAAAATTTACTCTCAACTTCTTAAGAAGTACGTTAAAAGAAGATTGCCATCATTTTTGAAAACACACAAATGTGCTAGTGTTTCTACTGGAGATATTCTAGGAAGAGCAGTTTGATAATAGCTTCATATCAAACACTAGGCTATGAAGCTCCCTCATGCTGCTACCTTGTTTGCCAAAAGACACCCTACTTATTCCTAGTTATCCTATTGAGCTTCCATTTAAGTTTGTCCTTAAAACTACAAATATGATCATTTACCTTTTAACTGTTGAGTTTACATTTACCGATATCCCCAAGATGAATTCATTCCTGGAATTTTCATAACATCGCTTCATTCCCATCTCTTCAACTTCATCTATCACCTTCCCCTCCTTTATCTTGGCAAGGTGCAGCCACAAAGATTCTTTTTCTGTTCCTTGAATGACCAAAGATAATTCCTTCATCAGGATCTCTGCACTTGCTGTCACTTTGTAAGAAAAGCCCAGAAGTAGCTTTTCCTCACTTGGCATGGGCTCATGCTACCTCCTTAGAGATGCCTCAGTGACTTTCTTACAATTATTATTGGTCAGCCCACTACTCTCTTTCTTTATACTTACTATAGTTTTTTTCTTTTTTTTATCCTTTACTATCTAAAATTTTTTCTTTACCTATATGATTCTAATACATAATGTGAGTTTCACAAGAGCAGGTACTTGTTCAACCAGTATCCCCCAAGCATCTGCAATTAACCTGGCGCATAGTAGGTGTTTGTATATATTTCTTTGAATGTTAAAAGTATTGAAGTGAGTCTTTTACCCCCTCTTTAGTCTCACCTCTAACCCTGATCAGACATTCAGTGTGCACAGAGTCATCATTTGGCAGATGTCATAACTTAAGGTTAGTGCTCCACGGTGTCCATAAAATTGTGGGTGAGGGTGCTGTAGCTGATTCCAACATCTTCACCACTATCTCAAATCTCCCCGAGCTGCTCCACAGCAAAACCTTATTAATTATACGCTAATCCCTACTGGTTACCAGGCTTCTCAGTAAAAGATTAGCCTTAAACTCATTTCAGACAGAATGATAAGACTTTAGAGAAAAGCACAAATCCATATCAAACTAGAATAAAGACCACAGGACAAAAAGATTTGATCCTAATCTGTGAAAACAATCTTTCCTTTACTCTTAAACCCTCAGTCTTCTACTTCTCCCTAAATCTCCCTGCTAACTAAATAATCATTATGTATAAACAAGGAATGTGATGAGAATTTTGCAAAGATCTGCTACCCAGCATTACTTCAAGGTAGAAAGTATATCTAAATAATCTCATGATATGCTGTGCTACTTCAACTAAATTAAAGCTATGTTATACACATTTTCCATAAATTCAGAAGAATCAACAACTCTAAAAGGTGAATGTAATTGAGACAATAGCTGTGTTGACATGGCTTTGTCAAAACAGAATATAAATGAGGGGGAAAGTTGAATATTATCCATGTTTATACTAGGTAGCAATGTCTGCATCATTGAGAAGGCCCAATGCCATCATTATCACATCTTTGCAGGGTATGGAGTTATGAAAGCTGTACTATATGGAGGAGAAAGGAAATGAAAAGTTTTGTTAGAGTAAAGGCAGAAAGACAGCCCTTGGAAATAAGAAGAATCAGACCATCGTGAGACTACAACTAGGATAGTGGTCGGCAAACAGCAGCTTGCGAGCTCTGGTTTGCCACTCTGTTGACTAATTAGTTTGCCGACACTGTCATATATTACCCTTTACCTCTTTGCACACAATATGCCACAACTGCTTCATTCTCACAACTTCCAACTACAAGGTAACATTTAGTCTAGCAGTGGTCAGCAAACTCATTAGTTAAACCCCGGCTTGGCTCATGTATGGCTCGAGAGCCACAGTTTGCCAACCACTGAACTAGGACATTGAACTGCCTGATATTTTTTGGTGGAGGGATTTAAGATCTGTTGATGTCTGGCTGGTAAGGAAAGGAAAAAGTATTGCTTTTACCTAGCTGAGTTGAGACTGAGGTGTTAAAGCTTGAAAAAAACAATTCCCATTCACAATGGAAATCTGCTTCAGCATTTCCAACATGACAAAACACAGCATGTGGTCTTGGTGGTGCCCAAGACAAATAAACGCTGTCACAGTAAACAGCGTTGCTATTCATTCCAGATTTGCTGGAATATTTGTTCAACCAACCCAGAGAGCTAAGTAAAGTCTTCAGTGATGCTATAACTAGTCTGTTTCAAATGAGTTCTCTTTTGTAGTGCTAATCTTCATTTCTCCTTTCTGTATGTATTTAATCACTTAAACATCGCATATTTATTTACTGAGAAATACTTTAGCATTATGTAATTTTTACTATCTTCATATTTTCCAAATGCCCTAAGGCACATGCATTTTACCATATTGTTAAATTTACTTATTCCTTTATATGATAAAATTATATTAGAGCCTGATGTAAAGAAAAAGCTCATTATACCTCTCCTAGGCAGAAATAAGACATTCAGGCTAAAATTCTGAACAATGGAGTCTACTTAATTCTAGAAATAAAAGATAAAATGAAAAAAATTATATACTCCAACTGAAACTCTATAATATTCTTCTTAGAATATTTTATTAACTCTGTAAACCCTAACACCATTGCTGTCAAAGTCACATTCACCTAGTCATGCCTTCTTGAAGTAAAATCTTAGTACATGCTACTCTGTCACTGTGACATTTTCATTAGTTCTATTATTTTTTTAACAGTATCTCAGCACTATAAAAATATTCTGAAAGGCAGTCTCTGGCTGTTAGCTCATGACTGTAAGAGGACAACACCTTTTTGATTATGTCATTGAATTTAGTCATGAAATATGTGTCCTTACTACTCAGGAAATAACTTTATCGTTTGTATTTTGTTACATGCCTCTGTGATATGAGCAGAAAGAGCTGTGTTCATAATATCAAAGAATCACAATTGGGTCACCTTTGTCACATTAAAAAAAAAAAAAAAAAAAAGCAAAAGGCATAAGGCTGGATTTAGAATGTGCCTAAAACAAATTGCACAGCTGAACAATAAAGATGGTGATTCCTGCTGTTTCAAGTCCACTGCCGCTCAGGGGCACATCACCCTGAAAGAGAAAGGGAATGCTGGCTTTTCAACAAAACTGAGGCTGACTTCCGTGGTCTTTATAGCAGAATCAAGAACAACATGCGGGGAGGATTGATTGGACCAATTCAGCCCTCCTTGGAGTAAGATGAAGATAACTTAACTCTATAGCATTTTCCCTGTGAAGCACTGAAGGCATACCATTAAAGGAACTGATTAGAGTACAGAAAAAAGCCAGCATTTTGATCCTCTATTAAGGATTATTCATTTCTCGCATGAGACGTTGACCAGACTATGGCTGCACATCCCTTATATGGGACTCTTAGAGTCTTCAAACACTGTGTGTGTCTGATTTGAAGGGAAATAACATTGTTCTCGCTTGAGTAGAGAAACTGACCTTCACTGACCAGAATTTTTTATTCATACAAAGAATCCTTTGGCACACCAAATCTCCAAGCTCACATAATCTCTCATCAGCAAGCCCCAGTGTTAGTTCATGTGCACAATCAAAAAGTCTATCTAAGCCCAAGTACCACCTTGGTCATTAACAGGTAATGTTGGAGCTTCTTCAAAGAGTATAAATTTAAATTTAATCCTGTACTGACATTAACCAAACACTACTTCCATAGCTCTCACTGAATCTGTTCCATAAAGAGAGGCTCAGGGCTTCCATTTAGCCATTTGTGCCATGTGAGATGTTAAGTGCTCATTTCGCATTCATTTCCATCTAAGTATAACATTCCTATTTTACCCAGATGACTAGAAACACACATGCACATGCATGCACGTGCCTATTGAAAACAAAACCTATTCTTTTAGATTAGAGGCCTGGTGCACAAAATTAGTGCATGGGTAGAGTCCCTAAGCCTGGCCAGTGAGGTGACTGATGGGGCGACCGGGGGGTAGAGGGGGCCTGCTGACACCTGCCTTGGCTGGCAGCCTGGTGCCACCCTCTCACTAGAACTGCCCCCCTCCCCCCACCATCACTGCTGGTCGCTTCCCTCTGCCTGCTGGCACCGGCCTTGGCCTAGTGCCCCCCACTGAACAGTCATTCCACAGGTCATTTTGCTGTTTGGTTGATTTGCATATTAGGTTTTTATATAGATAGATTACAGAAAGTGTATGTAATGACACTGTATGTAATGTAGTGAGGTTGCTCTTAGGGACCCTGGGTCACTGGGTTCTACCTAATTCACGGAAACAGGGACAAATGCTCCTATGTGCATTTTGGTCAGTCGACTATGTCCAAACACCCTTCTCCTCAAACAAGTGGCTGCCTAGCTTGGGATCTTGGTTACAAGTTTGGAGCCAAGAGTGACAAGGAGGGGCAGCATGCAGGGATACAGCAAAGCTGAAAACTGAGCAGATACTTTGAGATGTCAATTCTAAAGGACTAAGCAGGGATAGAATGAGTCTACAGAACAGAAATTGGGGGTGGGGGTGGAAGACCTAACCTGGAGAGGGGCCCTCACCTCAGTCTCAGGAGTCAGCGTACCTGGCCAGAGGAACTGCCTAGGAAGTGGAGCCAACTCAGACAAGATGTTGCAACAAAGACCCTGAGCTAACCACCCACTTATGGGCTCATTTGTGCATGGCCTCATATTCAGCTTCTTTCTTTTTTTAAAGTGAGGTATATTTGGCATATAACATTATATTAGTTTCAGCTGTCCAATATAACGATTTGACGTTGCAAAATGATCACCCAGGCCTGGGGAGCAAAGAGCTGCCTTTCACACCACACGTCCACCACACTCCCTTCAGCTTCTTACTTCCAGATTTCAGTGCCAGCAGGTTCACCACACAGTGGGCCAGAGGAGCCAGTAGGGAACCAGTCCGAGAAAGGAATGACTGGTCACAGACAAGCCTAGAAATCCCTTTGCATTTCCCTTCAAATTATTACCGTGACTGTGGGATTTTCAAGTATCTGGATGTGTCTATTCTTCAGTTTGTACTCAACGGGTGCTACATTAATTTACATTCAACACACCTCTCTGTGAAAAAGTTCTTTAATGGTTTGAAGTGTGGCCTTGCTTATCTGGTAAGATTATAGTTTAACTGATGGTATACAGCATTTAGTATATGCACTGTGCCCCCTTATCCCACACCCTTCAAATTCTCAGTAAAATTAAACCTTTCCTCCCCACTTCATCCTGGTTGGTGTTTAGCTCATTTCTTTCCCTTCAAATAAAACTCTCACGTGAAGGAATCAACTCCACATACTAGTTACAAGAAACAAGAATCATGAAGAGATGTACTTCATTGGGTTCAATTGAAAAAAGTTAAACTTTTTTAAATTAAAAAAAAATTGGGGTGGCAGGGAGTTAAATCTTAATTGAAATAATGTAAATACAGGA